CTAATTAGGCTCGGGCCAAAAACGTCCGTGTGAACGCGCCTTATATTAATATTGCCCATACTAGATGGCGCTAGTTGTTCTTCCCTGAGGATATAGAGAGCGAAGGACCAGAGTAATGATGCCACTGCATTGTCTGTTGTGTTTGTTATACTTGTGTTTATTTCACAATAAATCTATGTGAATACATCACACATATCAATCCTTTTTTTTATTTTATAATTGTATATTACGTACAATACAGTACTATCAGGTCCTCCTTAATAATTCGTTTCTATTTTTTTCTCAGTATTTTGTCTTCTTTTGTTCTCATTAAAGATCATAAATGAAGACCTAAAAGCCAACACAGACTGGATATGGGATTGGTCAAGCAGACCGGAACCTATGCCTCCCAAGTAAGATATTATTGTGTACATAAATTATGCTTATTTGAGGCTGGAGCCTCAGCCTGGAGGTTAGGGTCCTGTTGTGTTTATAGATATAGTTTATTGCCACTGCAAGGTTGTTGAGCAGAGATAAAGAATGGTGTGCTGCCCTGTGTCACAGTTTGCTTTGCACAATATACCTGGTAAATAGGGACCTCCAGCCAATGGCATTTGCCACGTGTACACGTTACACAAATATCTCATTATTTTCACTTACAAGTTACAGTAATATCCCACGCTATGAAAGTAATACATTCAACACGCAAAACCATGTAATGTGAATTATGTTTCATCATTAAGTACGTAATTGAAAATGTGTTCCCGGAAAGTCGTTCAATCAAAGTAGGTAATCCCATGATATTCCCTAAACAGCACGTTTATAAATGCAAGTAACCATTGACTACATTTTAACCATTAACATACATATTAACTATTTAACGATGTAAAACGCGAAACGGATTTTAGAATAAGAATAAATATTCTGTCTGGACTGAATGCCGGGCACAGAGAGTGAATGCACATTCACATGCGGCATTAACTCAAGAACTGACGTTTTTTGATACAATTCCCTGTCATTCCCGAGGAAAATTATGTAAGAGCAAGTTTTATATTGCAAGGAAAGTGGTGATAATTTACAAATTAAATATTGGCAAATTGACGTAACCTGAGTTAAGAGAGTAAAATGTGGTATTATTTTACTACTGTCGCCTCTTGCAGGGAGTTCAAGTTCCGCCGCCCGCCTCAAAAAGCGCCACTGAGTATTCGTAATACAAAGGCAATGAAGACTGGTTTCACCGAGCTTATTCCTCTTCTGATAATCTCCAATCTGATGTCTCTGGTTCTTGGAGCTGGTATTGGGTAGGTTTACATCTCGCTAAGTGTTGCTACACTAAAACCTTAGTACACTAAAGCCCGTAGGGTCTATGTCTCCCTGACCTCTGTTTGACCTGGCTCGTTTAGCTATTTCTGACTAACCCTAACCCTAACCCTAACCATATCAGATAGTTACCAGGGTTAGGGTTAGTCAGAAATATATAAACGAGCCAGGTCAAACAGAGGTCAGGGAGACATAGACTTTATCTGCTACACTAAATGATAGTCATTTAATTGCAGTTGCATCTTCTGTATTAAATACAAAAAAATTCTTGCCACGCTTTTTTATATTGTCTTTGTGGGTGTGATTAGAAGGGGACAGGGTACTGCATGTTTATCTGTAAAATCGTTCAAATGTGTGATGTTGCTCAGTGTAGGAAGTCTATGTTCCATGGGTATTTTCCAGTGTGCCTAGAATGCATGTTTAAAACAAGTTGCTTTTAGTTAAACATATTTATTTCCTTTCTGTTATAAAGGTGGTTCTTTGCAAAGAAAATGGCTTCTTCTGGTCTCACCGCCATCCCAATGCCGCTTGACTAGCTGACTTCTAATTTCCTGGGGAGACCTCTGTTGCCATGATGCCATTAGCTGCAGTGGAGTTGGCTGCAGTGTTTTGTTGAGTATGAAATAAATCGTAAGGGTATACGATAATTCCATGTGATGTCTGTTAGCCTCACTACTGCAGATTTCTCATAGCTTTGAATCTGACTAGTTGTTTTCAGAGGCAAGAATAGACTGACATGGTCGCCAAGTGTAGTGGACAAACGTGTTGGCAGAATGTTTGACTATATTTGATGGGGTCGCTTCCTGTTCACTTGCTGTACACTAGTGTATGTTATTTGAGCAGTTTATCACTTTAAATTATACTATTATAAACAAGGATTAGATAGATGGTTCTGGCTATAGTATCAATTTGCTAATATGATGAAAATGGAAAGTAAACATTGGTAAAGGTTTAATGCATATTTTCATTTAAATCTGGTCTAAGTTATATTGCATGCAGAATTCTGAGATTTAATAGGTCCTACATTTTTTTTTAATGATTTGCAAGCTGTTGATGATCGTTTGCTCAACAGTTGCACCACCATTTGTGCTGCTGGGGTGAAGTTGCGCAAACCTAGTTTTCACCTGCGTGCAACATACTGAAAAGAAGCTCTATAATTATTTAAGGATACACTTGAGCGTTTGCACGGGTATTGCTCTAATTTTGAGTAAACGTTTATTGACCAATGATGTATCTGTATGCTCAACCTAAAAAATTTCATGGAATTTCTAGCACCTAATTATGTGACAACACAAATTTTTTTAATTTTTATGGGAAAAATGGCGTAATATTGATAAAATGTGATAATATTGATTAATAAAATGATTTAAGTTTGAAAGCAGTTTTCACCACAAATTGCAGGTCAGAATTTTTCTTTCAGAATTAAAACTAAAAATCAATAAAATTTCATATAAAACATTGAGTGAATCTTTAAGAGAAGAATGGTTGCAATATTTCACTATGAATTCCACATATATTTTGCATGTATTTTTAAACAATGTCAGTCAGATAAAAAGTTATTAGCTCTAAATATAATTACAATGTTGTGATTAGCTCCAGGTCTGAAACATGTAATAGAAAAATTCAAACGTGCAACTACATCAGCAGGGAACATAAATCAAATCGTATAATGTCGTGGCTGCACCAGTGATCATGTATTTTCCATATCTAAAAACAAAAGTTAACGTCTCGTAATGGAACCATATAACTATATACTTTTTATGTAATAGGCATCATAGTTTCAGCTTCTAGTCGCATGTTCCCCTTTTAAGCGACACTTGGAAGAACTAGGAATAAAATATAATTACTTGTATTATACAGGGTGTAGGTATTTAACTGCCGATGTCAGATGGTATTTATGTATTGATGCAGGGTTGGTGGCATATATGCAGTGTTTAGTGATGGACCCTTCTGTACAGTCAACTGTGGCCAGTACTATGTAGATGGCAGAGGCATGGTCTTGAGACAATTTGGCTGATGTTTCGGGGAAAAAGGGGGTGAGTAGATGTTGGCAACAAGATTAGCATAGGTTACTGCAGGGTTCTGTGGTTATACACTATCCACGCACTGGGAACGCAAAGGTAGGAACCTGTGTTCCCACACACAGGGTGATGCAAAATTCTCACGCTGCAATGGTAATGCCACATTATCCGAGCGATGATGTTTGCCATTGGTCACTTCTTAGTAATCACATTATTCCAGGTATGAGTTCGTGTGAATTGAAAAAAGGTGTCAATTAACTGATGACATTAATCAAGATTTCAACTGCCTTGTGGGGGTTACTGTTTGTTTGTGATGGCCTGTGCTGTGTAAGGTCGACTCTACATAAAATGAGTAGATCAGTAGCTTCACCAGTTACCCTGCAGTGCACATATGAGGTTGTTTTTACTGATTGTGTGAAGTGTGATGCAGTTTCATCACTTTCATTATTTGTGAATTTTGTTTTAGTCGTGGCTTGTAAGAGAAAATATAATGAATGAGTTTGTGCAACCACCCACTCTATACGAACATGTGAGCTTCCTTGCTATCTTTGCCATTGCCAAGCAAGTAGCCTTTCTTTCTGTTCTTTCAGTTTTGGCTATTACATTGGTTAACGGGATCAAGCGGTAAAGCAGAATTGTGCAACCTTCTATTTCTAGCAGATAGCGAATTGAACCAACCATTCGAAGTATATGGTATTAGTCTTCAAACGCAAATAGTATATTCCATTTGGCTTAATGGAGGGTCAGTGGCAAGCACAGTGGAGTTGCAGGTCCATATTGTTAGTAAATTGGACATGCATAGTTTCAAGAGCGTATAAAGAAGGAGAGCGTACAACGGTGAAATGCTGAAACCATGTTGCAGTATTAGTCGAATTAAGAAACTTTGCCCGTTTTATTTTGACGATTCTTTGAGGTATTATTGATCAGCTGTCCTACCTTGCTAATGTAAAACAAACCGCTTGTCCCTACGATGCCCCTACGCTGAGATGAGCGGTGAAAATCTGGTATTTTTGCCGAAAACCGACTCGAGATCCCTGTTTGCTGCGATCCTCTCTCGCTTTGTGGCCAGTGTGTTGCTTCCAGTCGCCGCTGTGTAGGGCCATGGTAGCGCTGACTCATTACGTCAGTTCTACAGAGTTTACTACATCCAGCGTGAGGTGGGCACAGACCTTGGGCACAGGTGGGGGTCATCACTATCTATGGCAATCAATAACAGACGTCATTCATTCCATTTGTCAAGCATTGACGGAAACACGCGAGGTTTCCCGAAGTTATCTCAAAGCGAGAGACAGTCGCAGTCAGCAGGTATCTCGAGTCGGTTTTCGGCGAAAATACCAGATTTTCATCTCTCATTATCTCAGCGTTGGGGCATCGTAGGGACATGGGGTTTGTTTTATATTTACAAGGTAGGACAGCTGATCAATAGTACTGTCAAAGAATCGTCAAAATAAAACAGGGAGTTTATTAATTAGACTAATACTGCAACATGGTTTCAGCATTTCATCGTTGTTCGCTCTCCTTCTTTATACGCTCTTGATATTTTATATATATGAGTTAATAAATGAAGGCTGTATATTCTTGAATATGTTATATATATGCTATTGCTTGAAGTTTTGTGTAAATTTGTAAAAAAAAAATTTATAACATTGCAAATGAAAACACGTTTAAGATTTACGATCTGCTAATTATACAGTATTCAAACACTCAACCTCACGTTATGCCCAACCTAGTTTTCATTAAAAAAAGTTAGCCTTTGGATGCAATGTTCTAGTATATTGTATTAATTTCTTGAAAAATACCAGTTCATTGGCCTATCCATCTATTATATTAACTATGTAATCGTACTGAATGGAAACTCGTCAGAACTTGTGCACGTTTACCTTCGAGCAGTTATCTTGCTGTGTTTACATGTGAGCATTATTCTACGCTGAAACCACTGTCATAGATGGCCTATCGACCGTAGATGTCTCATAACCCGTAGAGACTGCAAATTTGATACCACATCAAACTAGTCCGGACCAGGCGCGCGCCAAATTTTTGCAGTGTGTACACGCTATCCAGCTCTAAATACGTGCTAGTCCGGACCAATCTGGCCCAGCAAATGAAGGAGGGCCAAGCCCGCTTAGAAGCGGGCTAACTTGGCCCCTACTAAGTTAGCCTACGTTCAACTGTGTGTGTAGGCAATGTGGTAACAGGCTATTCCCTAAACTGCGCATGCAGTCAACCCATGCCAACCTAGCACGCTTCAGAATTCTGTGTCTGTACACTACAATTTATTGTGCACCAGGCGTGCGTTTGGCCCATACTCCGGACTAGTTTGATGTAGGATCAAATTTTGCAGTCTGTACGGGGTATTATATACACTGTATATCCTATGTATTAACTATATACAATAACAAAGCGTTGCCTCGCTATATGTCCGAAACCAATAACGTTCAAAACTTGGCTGAATAGTCATTTGATGTTAGCGTGGCATGCAGTCAGTAAATTACGGTTCACTTATTTATTCACCAGGCACTGCCTAGCAAGCTGAAGTAGAAGTAAAATCAAGGGATTTGGGGTATAGTTGGAATAGGTATGTGATAAATATTTGCCCCTAAACTGACTACCGTCTCCTATGCTTTGTCATCAGCTGCAGATAATTATGAAAAGCATAGTGATACCAGTGTGTGGTCAAACGTCTATTATGAATGAATAATATATTTAGGATGTGGTTACCAGTGCTGCTATATCTATATCCTATGTGTGCACAATTCTATGGTATACACCAGATATTTATATTTGTAGCTTGAAAAGGGCATAATTTTGTTTGACAAATATGTAGGAATTGTATCACATTAGAATAGAATTTGGCTTGCATTGTATATTGTATACATGGATACGGTATCATAAAATACCTACCTGTCTATGTATCCATCTCTATATATACATTATATATATCAGGAGTAGATAATAGGGGTAAAAATAATAGGGGTGATAATGGTATAATGATAATAGGGGTAATAATTCCCTATTATCTACTCCTGATATATATATATATATATATATATATATATATATATATACACAAGAGGGAATAAAAACAAACTTTGTTTAATTAATTTACTCCAGATCTGATATAATACCTTATGTTCTATGGGCAGATCCGCTTGTTGTACATTTATGAATATGAAATATGAATATATAAAGTACTAGAAATATTACATGTACTCAAAAAGACATTGCTCTTGGTGAATGTTTTTTATTATATAATTGTTTTTATGTCTTAGCAAACGTGCACATAAATTCCCACGTGCGTGGGGCATACAGTTCACACACACGCACGCACACACGTGCTTGCAACAACTAGTGTGGACTTGCCTACTTCAAGTGGTCCATTTTCTCCTTCGTTAGCAAGACGGCACTTCATAAATAATTCTGCCTCAAATACTGGTAAACTAGAAAATGCAGGAATAGCAAAATTCGATTTATATGCTCATCCAGTATATATATAGTAGTCACTGTATGAACAAACAGTTCAACTGCATCAAAAGTGGACATGCAACAAACCGAGATTCTGGTGAAAGTAAAATCTAACTAGCGCAAACATCCCTATAAAATACAATGACAGTATAGCATAATAGGATTGATAGAATCAGGAGTGAATAAAACACTGTTTTATTCATTACTGATAAAATGCAACTATAATTGCTTGCACTAAAAATCTGTCACTTTTTCATTTCCATGTAATTGCATCATCGACACCACGCACCAAATAACAGGTTTACAAAAGCTGCATTTCTCGAGTTTTGAGTTTTATGTAACAATGTAAAATCGGCTTAAATGCATCACTGTACGAGTAGTTTCCCTTATCATTAATTTTTTTATGATTTTGTGCTCTTTAATGTTAAAGTGAATTAATGCAAGTGATGCAATTAAATCTAGACCACAGTTGCAGGCTACATCGTTATGAAACATAGTGCGTACGCACCAGGCTGTGAATACAGGCTAAGCAGGTTTGAAACCCATAAGGATTCGCAACCCTGCACTAGCATCCCCTACAACCTGGGTCGCAAGAACTGGGTCAAATGAGGCCTGCGCTATGCCTCTGATGTGAAGCTAATGTTTTACTCAAAACATTTACTGTTACAGGACATGGACCATTCACGGAGGGCTGCACGTATAAGCCACTGATGAGATTCACAAACGTTTTGTGGGAAATCAACGTAAAAGCATAAACCACAGGTACAACAAGCACATATACAAGTACATTGTATATATATATATATATATATATATATATATTACATACACAACCACATATATACTACATATACACACATAGATATTAAACCATTACATAAATATGGACGGATATTGCTTTCAGCCCGAGCTCACGCATGCACGCACATACACATGTGAAGCACGCATTTGCATTTAGCTCCCCTAATAGTAACACACACACACACACACGCACACACACACACACACCACAAACGCATAAGCAGTGATCGTGCCCACACGTACCGAACGAGACAATACACGGACGAGTTCTTTGGTATGTGCATCACGTACTGGCAGCAGATAGTCATCACAGTGGCAGTAGATTAACCACATGTAGCTGCTGCTTCCATTGCTGCTACTGCCGCCGCCACCACTGCTGCTACTACTAATACTAAACTAGACAGAGGGCACTCACGGAGAGTGCATACCTCCACGAGCATGTAACATGTATGTGCTCGCTGGTGGCGGCTGCTGACTGACTCGCCTGCTGCTGACTCGCCACTCACTGGTGGCTGCTGCTGACTCGCCACTCACTGGTGGCTGCTGCTGACTCGCCACTCGCTGACTCGACGCGCTATCGATCGCGCAGTGGCTACACACACACACGAACACACACACGAACACACACACGCAAGTGATTGCATGACCTCCGTTTGCGCGGAGGTAACTAGTTTCAAGAACGATTCACGAATACTGACGTCATGGGTGACTTGCGCATCTTACTACTGAATCCATCTATCTGTCTTGATAATTACGAAGCTACGTGGGCTCGGCTTTGCAATGTAAGCTATAAATTATAATAGATATATAGCTTCGGTCCAACCCACCAGCCTGCCATAGCTTCTGTTAGACCATAGACAAGGCTAGCCAACGCAAGGCAAGCTTCAATCAAGGTGATCCTCTCGTATGGTCAGGTTCGTTTCTAGTGGTTCTCAGTGAAACAGAAAATAACTCAACCGGGATAAAGACAGAAAGACGGATGAGAATCGACAAAGAAAACATCGTCTACAACAAGTGGGTCGTTGACTATTTACACTACACAGAAACACTCATTACGGTCTGATCAAACCCACATGCCAAAAATGTCTACGCATAATAGGACCGACCAGTTTAAATACGGTTGACACAACACAGGAGGATCACATTTGCCATTGTCACAATTGTCATTGCCTGACACAGGAAATTACATGGCAAGCTACACCCCAGAACTACAGCCCCGTCACGCGGAAGACAACCCATCAGATGTGGTATCCCGAATACGGAGATGAACTCGTCGGATTCAATCTCTATCCGTATATAGTAACAGTATACGCCAGTTGAAAGCTTTAGTTATAAACACTTAGAACTGGAAGAAGGCTGTCGTGCTCCACATCAAAGGTGATATAACCCATGACTGTAGTGCTTTGCAACTACCATGTGGCAGCGGGGAATGTCGCATGTAAAATCACAGCCAATCTGGAAAAGGAATGGGCTGCCTACTGTGCCTAGTACAACACGAAAGAATGAATGTTATGTGATGCTCTGGGACCCAGGCTAGAATGGCACCCAACAAAATCCCCACATGTAGCAGTAAAATGGTACAGCCCGGTGACGTTATCCATTGCCATGATATTAAAGAGTGAAAGCTTAGAGCGGCACGACTGAAATGTACCACATTCTCACGTGCAACACGTAGGTGTAATGGAATGACACAGTAGAGTGACTACTAACACAAAGACACCGAGTAGACCGATTCACACTGCAGTGGAAACTACATATAAATGGAATGTAACGTCACGTCTCACAAAAACTGCGGTGCGGATGAGTACATATAGTGCCACCCCAAAACAGGTTGGGATACACATCAATTTAATTATCGAATGCCTTAGCTTCACCAGACAGAAAGACATAGGCTAGCTTGTATGGACGGAGGCTGGAATGTGCCCTTACGCGGCAAAAGGTTACACGTAGTTGAGTGGAACTATCATAGCACAAGGAGTGAATAAAAAAACTATTTTGTTCTCATTTCATTTCTGATAGCACTATTGACACACCTGAAAATAAATGTAGTACGGACATGCTGACAGACAGACAGATTAGCCGAATTAAAATAACAAACTGGAAAACACATCTACAAGAGTTCACTCATAGGCCAGCTAGCTGGACGATGCTTAGGCTAGGCAAGCTCTACCGGTGTAGCCCCTTCGCGCCCACTACTCGCTTCCTGTAGCGGTATATCCCTATAGCTATACTGGTAGAGCTAAGGCTAGGCAGGCACAACAAGCAGATGCGATAGTGCAGAATTCATAAAACTACCGTGGATCTTTGGATTCCGGCCTATATGTGTTGCAGCTCGCGCGCACGCACGCACGCACGCACACACACACGCACGCACGCACGCACGCACGCACACACACACACACTCGACGAGTGAGGCGAGGGGGATCCCAAGACTGGTAAGAATTACAGCAGTGTTCACATACGATTAACAGAATAGCGTAGCCGTGGATCAGGCAATAATCCTCTGCATCAGTACGGCAGATGCTTCTACATTCCCCGAGATTAACCAATCATGCTGGTTCCATATGGCACTCCAAACTCAATTAGCCCACTTTTCAACAATAAAAGGTGGTCTGTGTTATGTAGCGACTTATTTTTAGTATCAATTTAAGCTTGCTGGGCGCCATTAACGCAGCACTAGCAAAAGTCGGCTTCGTGACCTTGGACCCGGGCTGTTTTAAATCGTCACGAGGCTGCTTCATCTATCTTGTAAGACAGCCTCCAAAGTGGCGTCTTTCTAAGCCGAGTGAGTACACAGTGTGTAATCCCATGCTCGCACCCTTAAACTATTGCTATCAGCTGTAAGTGTATCCTTGACTTAACTTTTGTTTGTTCCGGTTGACCTAGTAACTCATAGCGCATGCCTGCACCAGAAAATTCTGCACAGTCTTACTAACGTACCACTGTCAAAGATAGTTATTGCAGTACAGTATAGACATGGCATGTTTAGGGTACATGTAACACAGTCAGCATACGAAAGAATATGACGAGTGACACAATACGGCGTGCTGACATTCAATGAAAGTTGGTATGACACGATTATCGATGGTCACAAACAATCATTTTTCAAATTCATATTAACGTTTTGTGCATTAAAAAATAAAGGTACATAGCAGAGCAAATCAATGTTTATGGCCACTGCTGTAAAGCCTTGCACTCAATACATCTGACAAAAATGAAATACGAATTACTCACATGGAAATGTTGCTGGCCATATTATAAATTACTATACAAGTGCGCATATAATTAACATGTATGCATATTATATATGATGACAGCATGTAGTATAGTCAATGGCAAGATAATATACAACTTGATGCCTGTGCCGACTGGAAATGCACACACAAATAGATGCCATTCTGAAGAACTTGTTGCGATACCATATTTTTGCGAAACGCGCACCTAGACTGTGCATGAGGCTGTCTGTGACGCCAATCACCAGTGCTTTCAGGCCACTCACTTACAGTACTTTCAGACAAACGATGTACTAATGCTAAGACTGTTTTCATACTATTGGTCTGGCCATCACGATGGAGTGAATCTACTTCGATGACTGCTGAAAACCGTATTTCCCTCAGAGGAATAACCAACAGCACAGTACAGCAGCGGAACGATACCTGCTTCACCATTCGGTGAAAATAAGATGGAATTCACGTAAAAGATAATTGCCTGCCCCTCTGATGTCATGAGATTCAATATTGATGCTTATTAAATCAATATGTAGACTGAGACTAGTGTTGGAACACCCTCAGTGAAATGCCATACATTTTAAATTCGACTACATAACTTATATGCATAAACATATATCTATGTCATTCGATTTTATGCTATTCATTTTAAGTCGTGCAGTAGGCACGTGGTGAGCAAAGATTAGTGCGTACGATGGTGCGAGGCAGCATTGCAACCATCACCATGTCCGCTGGCTGGATGTAGGCAGCGACAGCTGGCAGTGCCACCACAACATGGCTATAAAGCAGAGCTCCCAACACCAAATTAACGCCTGTTATCGAAACAACTGCATGCAGGGTGTTATTCTTCGCTCGGATAAGCTCGCATGCGCAATACAATCATCGTCTCTTTGCGATGCAGCGAGGCGAGGTGAATTTCGTGTAGGCAGGATGCAGTGACCACTCAGCAGCTTTCATCCCTACAGATTCCTCATCCTTACAGTCAGCTTCAAACGTCAACAGGCTCTGCTGCGTGACGAGTAGAACTTACATGCGCTTAGCAATCCATGAGGAGATTGTCGAGATCAGATCGAATGTCTATAGTGACGCCTGCGGAAGCTTGAAACGATGGTTGCAGTGCTGTCTCGTTGAATGTCAGTCAGAGATGCTATCATTTCTTCTTTAGTGATTTGCACACCCAATCCATGCCATCCTGCAGTAAGAACAATGCGATGATAATAAGTTGCAAATTAGCTCTCATCACATAGACAAAACACTTGCTTTCGTTATTTACCGGTGCTTACCAAGTGCCAAATGTGAATCCTCATGATCACTATCTGTGCAGTAAGAAGGGGTAGTACATGTAGTAACGACAAATGTCTGCACAGTTAGGCAGGGAAAATTTAGCACTGCTGAGCCGATAATTTCGATTCTAAATCAGGACTGGATTAGTGTAACACTTGCTTGTGCAAACATCACAAAATCACAAAACCTAAACTTAAAATGGAGTCATCATGACAAGTGATGGGCACTGCAATAAAAATATTGCCTACACTCGAACCCAACAACGTGCAGTGAGAGTTTCATAATTAAATATTCAAACAATCTCTAAAAAAAATCCATTGCACTTAGGCAATTACAATTAGGCAGACCCATGGGACACAGGTACCAGCAAGAACTGACTGCATGATGACCGTAATTATATCAGTAGCAATTACCAACCTCACAGCAAGAGAAGGTAGGTGCTAGCAGTGCGCGAAATTGGCGCTATTTTGCCGGCGGCCGCCAGTTCAACACCCTAAACCGCCGGTTCTACCCCCTAAACCGCCGGTTCAACCCCCTAAACCGCCGGTTCAACCCCCCATATAATCAGTCCACTTGACCTATTCAAAATTTTGCCTATCTTGCCTTTAAATCAACAATATTTACCAATTTCCTGACTAGTTTTTACTTAGTGACTACTAATAAGTAAATCATGTTCCAGCAATTCCTGTCAAACAAGTAGAACTCCACTGATAGCAAAGAAATACTGAAATACTATGAGTATGCCTAATAAACACAAAGCTAATACATGGTTCATAGAGGACTGAAAAATTTTTCAAGGACTTTTCAAGGACATTTTATTGGAAATTCAAGGGCATTTTATCTGACATTTTAAATATCAGAATTCATACACAGAACAAAACATACCTGGATTAATTTAATAACCCCATTCCTAATCACTGTCACCTCTAAAACTTACCTGGATCACATTAATAAACCCTTCTAAACATTGTCACTTCTACAACATACCTTGATTTACTCACTGACTGATGACTGATTTTACTCACTTACTATAATTTGTGATCACCATTTAACTGTCTAGAGCTTTTTAAGCTCTTCGAGTTTTATTTTTATTAAAGTTTGCACATTATTGATGGTACAAAATTTCATTTTATTACAGGCAAGGACTCTTTCTAGAAATTCAAGGACATTTTCATGAAATTCAAAGACTTTTCAAGCACAAAATAAACATTTACTAAATTCAAGTACTTTTCAAGGACTCCCCTCAAGTTTAAGGAGTTTTCAAGGACTGTGCGAACCATGTAATACTTTTATTAATAATGGAATAAATTGAACAAAATTAAGGGCCTGTTCAAACTTGTAAGTGCCTGTTCAACTTATCTAAGGTCCTGTTTAAAATTTTTGGGCGGGCCTGTTCATATTTTGGCAAATTTCATGCCCTGTGCTAGTAAGTGATTACCTTGATGCCCTCGCCCGTCATGGCGGAGCAGGCCTGTATCTGCCAGACGCGATCGCGAATCGTGTGCAGGTTCAGACCCTCTGCGATCTCGCTGGCAGGTGCCGCGTTGAAGAGGTCCTGCTTGTTGGCGTAGATCAGCAGAGGAACTCCGCTGAGCTTCTCCTCCTCCAGCAGCTCTGCCAGCTCCTGCAAACACACAGCAGCGCCACCTAGCGGTTACACACGGCAGCTCTGCCAGCTCCTGCAAACACACAGCAGCGCCACCTAGCGGTTACACACGGCAGCTCTGCCAGCTCCTCCAAACACACCAGCCACATGCCGATCCCCGCAACAGCGCCACCTAGCAATTACACACGGCAGCCACATCCCAATCTCCGCAGCAGCGCCACCTAGCGATTACGCACAGCAGACGCATCCCAATCGCCGCAACAGCGCCACCTAGTGATTACGCACAGCAGACATGCCACATTTTCAATAATAATGCCCTCTGGCACGCATGCACGCATGCACACACACAGATCAGGACACCTCCATAAATGTGGGGCGGTTTCTGGCTTACCACTCCTGTTTCTTCAAACCTTTTCCTATCAGCACTGTCTATTACATATATCTGAAACAGAGTAAAATTGATATAAATTAGCACAACCAGAAATATAGTTCCAAAACCAGAAACTTCACTGTCTGATACTTTTTGTACAGTGTTTGACAAAACTGGATTACAACTATTTTACAAATTTTGCATGCTGCAAGTCTAAGAATTCTCAACATCTACTGAGTCAAACTATCGCATTACTGTCAAAATTGATATAACAGCGATAAAATTTCCCAAAATTCTCCTTACCAAAACATCCGTATTCTCAAAATAATTCCGCCAATATGGCCGAATTTTACGTTGACCTCCAATATCCCACACGTTGAGCTTGAAACCTTCCGATTGAACACTTTTGATGTTGAATCCCTGCAAAAAAAACATAAATGTGAATCACTGCAGAGTGGCACCTTGAAATGATCCCCCCCACAAATATGTGTGGAGTCGCTAAATTATTACAGTCAATTACTGAATACGCCATATTTTTCGGTGACGGACAATTTCGCGAGTGGTTAATTTCGCAGTTGGTGAATCATTAATTATTCGGTATTATTCGGTATGAATTAGTCGCGTGTTGGCAAAATTCGCGAAAATTAAACCACCGCGAAATATACAGTGTACCCTTATGCATACAGTGTGCTAGAGTTACTAGTACATGCTATGTGGTCTTAAAAAAATATTGAACATCAATGTGTGGATCTGTAACAGTGGCCAGATTCTGCATTGCATTATTGTTACCCCTGTTTCCGATTTGTTTGTAGATGCAGTGAGGTTCGTAATCAGCAATAATATTCACTGCTTTTATACAGCTTTTCAGTACATAAAATAGGCAAGCTTTCTAAACAAATTTGCCAACAATCGCATAAATAGCTGCACAACCCGAACCACACTGCAACACAAGCAGCAATATGTAAGCAGAGAAATGTACCTGCGTAGGTGTTATGTGTGCGATATCTTCAGAAGCCAGCTGCTTGAGTAACGTCGTCTTTCCCGCATTGTCAAGACCCAGCAGCAGAATTCGGAGTTCCCGATCAGGAATGCTCTTTAGCTTCCTAAGTATTGATAGCAGACCCTGAAAAATAACATGCAACGCCTTTAAACACAAGGAAAAATAACAGATGATGGTTGTAAATATAGACAACACTGTAAAAGTCAGCTGCAGATGTAAACGACACTGACGTAGATAGCTGCAGATTCAGATGGGTATGACGTGGTGTATTCCTGTGGAAAACTCCCACACCGCCGACGTGTACATGTTATGTTATGTTATGTTATGTTATGTTATGTTATGTTATGTTATGTTATGTTCTCATACTTGTCGGTGTCCACTGTAGGGACAGTGATTTTCCGCGATCGCGGAAAATGGACGGAAAACACGGAAACGGCTATTGGAAATGGAAAAGATGTTTTCAAACGGAAAAAACACGGAAAACGTAATTTTTAACATATTACAACATGGAAATTTCAATAAAATCACACAAAAACCGTCGCCAATAGCATTGGTAATGATATGGTTTACATTCAGACAAGTTTCAGAGCGAAATGACGTACAATGACGATAATTTTATTATGATCACATTACCCTACAGGATCCGGTTCCACAGACGTGGATTAACTTTAACTCTGAGTTAAACTCACTAACTCTGAGTTAGTAAACTCCGAGTTAAATTTGGGTTTCACAAACATGGATTAAATCCCGAGTTGAGTTAAATGTTTTAACTCAGCGTTAGTATCCCATAATTCCACGTAGTTAGAACAGACGAACATGATAGATGCATGATAGACTCATAGACGATAGACGCATGATAGACGCACGGACATGGTAGGTGTAATGAAAAAACGTTATAATGAAAACCGGCAGCGATACATAAATGAGGAAAAATATTTTGCTGCGGGGATTGAACCCGCGACGCTCGCGTCATTAGCACGATGCTTAACTATTGCGCAATCGCTAAATATTTTACATTTTCCTGTAATATCATAGTACAGATTCCGGGATCAGTGTTGGTACGCCATCAATGGCCGACCAATGTACAACAAACGTAAACAAACACCGTATGTTCCAGCACCAGCGGGGGATCGGACACGGGTGACGGGGCAGTACTAGATAAACTAATTAGCTCTAGTACTAGTATCCTAGAGCTAAATTAACCTCGTAGAATATAGTCTTCAAAGTCTAAAGGATTATACCGAAGACTATCTATAACTAAATCGAATGTAACTTGATTTTTAACCCCGAGTTGAGCGTTTAATCTAGGTTCATACCAGAGTTAAATTTTAACTCAGAGTTATGCATATTTAACTCAGTGTTAAAGTTAGTCCACGACTGTGGAACAGAATTTAACTCCGAGTTAACTTTTAACTCCGAGTTAAAAGTTAATCCACGACTGTGGAACCGGCGGGTCCAGGTTCTTTCAAAGGTTGTACCAAATACTTTTTTTTCATGCAAATATATATGTAAATGGAATTTTGCATTTTTGGTGTGTACAATCTCTATGGCAAAACGGAATTTCCATTTTTTCTTTACTTTGAAACGGAATTCAAGATTTTCACAAATGGAAAATCACTGTCCCTACCACTGCACTGGATATAGTGATAAGGTCGTAAGTGCCTTCAGGGATAAACCCAATAAACCAACAACAACAACCCCCCAATGGCAAGCCCAATAACAGGTGCATAATACCATGGGAGCAAGTAGCTGTTAATACACGAGTAATGGCGCCGCATTGCATTCCGGATTCAAGCCCTCCCCGTTGCTGAGCTCCGTGTCGAGGCTCGTCACGCCAAGCTAGCATAATTCGCACGGGAATGATGTCACACACATGACTACGTTCACTGGCCAAACAATTGAGTAGCGCGGTTAGGGAATTCCACATGATAAATCGGATAAAGTGTGCAGTATAAAATAATTATATATAATTATCATTAGAACAAACTTGTGATCATTTAGCTATGCGTAGATACCAAAATGGAGACCATTGGTTGTGTATTTCTGCCATGATTCTGTGAAACGAAGCGAATGTCGTGCGAACTTTGCGGTCACGTTTTCTCACCTGCTCTATAATTTGGTTGTTTGTGCACAGCGGCGTTCGTGAGGTGAACTTGTGAGTTGTGTGTTGTAACCGAGCGTTTGAATGACATTTACATGATAAAGTTATTACTAATAGTAATAGTAATAGTAATAATCCACGAAAGAGAGTAGAAAACCATCATTTTATTATTGAAACGTTCCAAGTGTCTGTGGCTGTGCTGCTGGTTAGCTGCCTACAATTTACAAATTACGGCCGTAAGTAGTCGGTAATCAGGGCCCAAGGATAGAGTCTAGAGAACATGGGTCCCAATAAAACCAATGTGCCTAACCCTAACCTATTATATTAATATAATATTATATTTATATTGATGTAAATGACATTGGTTTTATTGGGACCCATGTTCTCTATCCTTGAACCGTAATGAGCACTGACAGTGACAGTGTCACAGTCACGACTCACAGTGAGTGACAGCAGGTAATAATAAGATTATATTTATAATTATTTAATCAGAGAATAAGAAAGAGAATTCCAGCTAAGAGAGAACGAACTCTACTGCATTCTAACATTAATTGTGCATTGTGTTTGTCGTATAATCTTATACCTGAGTATTATTAGTTACAGAATAGAGCAATCTCAGTAAATACTCATATCTTACCATTTTCAACATAAACCGACAAACTCTGCACTGTTGATACAATGATACGTCATAGAAATTGGTGCACACGGAAGGGTCGTCTTTGTTTTAGAGTGGATACCAATCATTTGCTAATCTAGAGCGAGCGTTGGTGATCGCTTGAGACGCAGGCGTAGTGGCAAACTCCACGACAGATGGCGTTCTCGCTCATGGGCTCAATCTATCCTGAGTGTGCGCTGAGTGCGATAATTTTTTCCGTACCGTTAACGCGTCAGCGCTCGCTATGCGTATTGGGAATGCATACTGGGTTAGGGTTAGGGTTAGGGTTAGGGTTAGGGTTAGGGTTAGGGTTAGGGTTAAGTTAGGGTTAGGGTTAGGGCTAGGG